ACATTGTATGACGCAGCAAGTGAGATGGTGTGGCTCGCAAGAAAAGGATAATGGGCACACAGACAGAAGAGCTCTCTCTATCATTTGCCCCAAAGAGAGGTATTGAGTTACTACAAGGTCCTTGCTAGCAATTCTTGGATTCTTGTACTCTATATTTCTAGCCACATTGCAGCAGGGATCCTGGAATCAACATCCTGCCTGGAACCTTATTCTTGGGGCTGGAGAGACAACTCTAGGGGTAAACTGCTTGCTATGCATTCATGAGAAACTGAATTTGGATCTCTAGCACCCATGTAAATTGCAAGCAGAAGCACACACGTGTAACCCCAGCATTCTTAGGACAAGGTGGGAGGCAGGCAAGTGACTTCCTGGGAGCTCTCGGACCAGTTGGCCCGGTGTACACAGTGGCAAAAAAGAGAGCCCATCTCAAACAAGGTGGCAGGCAAGGACTGTCCTCTCACCTCCTCATGCATGCTGCAGCATGCACTTGTCCACACTCACACACACACCAACAAACAAACTAATCTACAAACAAACTAACAAAAATGCCCGAAGCGCTTTACTCTCTGTCCTTGAATGGTGTCATTTACCACCCCTCTATCGAGAAAGGGAGGGAGGAAGGGAGGGATAGAGGGATGGAGGAAGGGAGAGCTATTTACCAAGCAACTTCTCTGTTCAAAGCATGGAAATCAGGTGTCACCTTGAAAGGCAGGCAGTGCCCCTATACTGCAACACCTAAGCCACCTCCACTGGTGCTGGCAGCAGTCCTCCTGCAGCCCCTATGCAGAGCTGACACTTCTCCTCCACCAAGTCCTGGGTGTCCCTTACAGACAGCTGGTCTCAGCTAGTTCTTTGGGCCTCTGTCTTTACTGGGTTGTGAAGTTAACTGTATGTCTGAGTCTTTGGTGGACATGGTCAAGCTCACAAAGATCGCACACCAGAAGTTGGAAGCAAGGCATAAACTAGTCCTCCTGTGTACCCACCTTTCTCCAAAGAGTGACGACCCAGGTGCCTCTCTTCCCAGCTTAGGCTTCTTCTCTTTTGTCCAAGGCCTCCATTTCTCTGCTCTTACTTGGAACATCCTGGCCAAGGAGGCCTGTCCAATCTCTATCTCCAGGAGGCTCAGGGTGGCTTGTCTTTTCCTTTCCATCATTAGGCTCTCTCTTGCCTTTTCTTCCATTCAGTCATCATGCTGTTCTCAGCTGAGTGGGAAGGGAAATCAGAAAAGCCTCGTGGGGTCGGGGGAGGTGATACCTTTCCCATGTTCAGTCTCCACACAAAAGTATGTTACCACTTCAAGTAGTGCTTCTCACATAGGCTGGAAGTAGCTTAGTCATGAGAGCTGTGATAGGGATATTGCAAGCCACTGGCTGGGGACACTGCACACCTGGATGGTTTGGAGAAACATTTTTATATGAAAACAGATGGTTATCTTAGGAAATGGAATATCATGTTTCCATAAAATCATCACATTCAAATAGGACCTCCCTTGATCACTGTAGACTACACCTCACTTGGTGACTTTTCACGCTGTGCCGTCAGCTACCATGCTCTAAGGAGTCTGGGTTTCTACCCATGGGTGTTGGGGTGAGATCTGGGGGAGGGGTGGGATCACTGGTTATGCCTGCTTCAGGCTGCAGATGGAGCCTTCCAGTTATCTTGAAGACTGATGACTGCACATTGTAAGGGGCAGGGCAGTGCCAAGGCAGCACCCTGAAGCTCCCTCATGCTCAGCAAGCTCTCACATAAGAGTGTCATCTGAAGGCAAACCATCACCCCACTGACTGGTGGGCACTACCCATCTAGCCATGCACACATGCATCAACCCCACACCTTCTGGAAGCCCATCATTGTTCAAGGTGAAGAAGAGTAAAATCAAAACACCATGCCATTTCCGGTCTCGAGGAGTGCTCAGCCTTGCCTGGAAGAAGAGCAGTACTATCAAACACACTAGCGGCATGAAGCACGTGATGCCATGCATTCCGAGTACCTCTGAGATGAGCAAGTTGTTGTGGCTGTTGGGAGAGCAGTCATTTGTCAAGCATTGCATTCTCACAGGGTCGTTCATACAGAATCACAAACGACTTATTTATATTTCAACCTCTAGATTTGTGCGTGCACGCATGCATGTGTGTGTGGTGTTAGAGGATGAACTCAGGGCCTCAGGTTTACAAGGCAAGTGCTCTATCACTTAGCTATATGTTCCCACTTTTAATGTAAAACAAGGATATATTGGTCCCCATGTCCTCCCCATAGGATTCTGAACATTTTGCATATTGGGTAAAGATGAGGAATGGTTTGGATGTTATGAAACTTCTCTGAATATTGATACAAACACAAATTATTATGAAGGTTCATTTGATATTTAAAGGATACTACAGTCATTACTTTTTCATTATTTTCTATGGAGTTAGAATCTACATTTGAAAATTAAAAAAAAAATAGACATAGATAATGACGCTGTTCGAGCTGCTTTTTTCCCTCTCCAGGATAAAAAGCCAATCTCCTTCTTTCTCTCCCTCTCATCTTCCCTCCAGAAAATAGATTTTTGACATTAGCCTAACTGAATCTTACAGTATAACATACAATGGAAAGCAAGCCAACAAAAGCCATCTGAATCTATTAAAATATCCTTCAGAACAAGCTGACCAAACACCATTTTACACAAAGATAGCTTGTTAGGAAACACGCAGCCTGTGCGTTTTCTTGTTCTGCGTCATGGCCAACAATAGAGAAGTCATATCTTCTGAAGGAAGCTATGGTGCTATTCTCCTCAGCATGCTGCCCATCAAAGAACCATTCCAATTAACACGGCAGACTCTGTTACAGCCCCATGAGAAATTGTGGACAAAAACTGTGTGCTAGCAGGAAACTCCTCTGCTGCCAAGAGTTAGCCACAGAAGGATTCCTGTCTGTCTCCAGGTGAGTAATATTGAGTCATGTGGAAGGTTTTGAGGGATCATGATCACCCTTGACTTTCCCCATGGAAACACCTGTTCCCACCAGGGCAGGGCCTCGAAAAGTCCATTGAGCTGATGCTGACATGTGGGACCTGGCATCTACCGGGGTCCCATGAGGTATCTCATTGCTGCAACCTGAGTTTGTGATGCAACCACAATGGAGTGAAGAGGAACCCTTTTATCCGCATTTACCCCTGAGCTATGAAAATGGGCTTCTCCAGTCAGCTCTGTGTTGGATTTATTTAGATTTTATTGGGAAGGCATCCTGTGCAGCTGAGCAATGCCAGTTGGTGGCTCTCATAGACAGCAAGTACTTATGTCCTCATTCTGAGTTACTAAACAAAAACAACAAGAATCCCCCCTCCCCAACAAACAAAAAATTCACCTGGGTCACAGGAAAGTGATGTTTTCCTTTGTAGTAAGAACTTTCTGGTAAGCAACTTCAGTTCCCTGACCCCAACACTTATCACTTGTGCCTCCCTAGAGGAGACCTCAGGACCAATCGAGATTAGCATAGAGGTGACCTGGGGACTAGTGCTCGAAAGCACAGTAGATGCTTGGGAAAACCTGGACCCTTCTGATTTCTTCCTGATGGCATTTCTTCTGTTCTTCAATGCTGCACACACATTCCAGAATGCTCCAGGGTTCTGCTCTCGTAAGTGGGCACTGGCGCTGACCTATGTTCTCAGTTTTCCTTTATAGACAAGAACCCACAGTGAACTCACTTGAAATGAAAAGCAAATACGTTTTTTTCTCTAAAAATTTCTAATTAAAACAGTTTCTTTTTCAGAATTTTTCAGTAAGTCAAAACAAAAATCCTCCAGAGAATATTTGCAAATTACCTAACACAAGGTAAGGATTAAAAATAGTTATCTTTATAAAAAAAATCTAGAACCTGTTAATGAGAAGTCCAATGTGATAAAAATTGTACCTAATAAAATTTTGAAATTCTGTCATATCCAAAATAATCAAGTTTTGATTTTAAAATGCTTTATATCCCCCCAATGCTAAAAAGCCTTTTTAAAGGTAAATGTTATTTCTGTAACAATAAAACCCTCTTCTTCATTGTGTGGCTCCATATGACACCAGAGACCCTGGAGTCTTAAGGGTGCAAGGAGAGTGCATCTGTACCTCCTGTCGGCACACTGGCTGGCAGGTGAGACGACGCAGGTTCTGCAGGAATGATGGTGGACGGTTACCTGGCCCACCCACCACATAGACTCCTGCTTAACAACTTCATTAGTCATTAGAAAACATTAGAGAAGTAGAGGGATACTTGGAAATGTATTTATGTCTCAAGATCAAGAAAGACTATTCTCTCTCCTCTACAAATGAGACACAGTAAATTTCATTTAGAGACAGGGTCAGATAGACTACAACACTCAGGAATGCCCAGTTTGGCTGCAACAGTCCTCTGAATTAGTCAGACAATCACTTTGACTCTTAGTGGGGAGGGTCTCCAGATGTTCTGAATGTTTCTGTCATTTGGAAATCATTGCCCAATGGCCAAATTCACCAGGTGATTCTTCACCATCTGGTGTGGGACAGATATGTCACAGAACGCCTATGGTACCTCCTGTGATGTACACAAATGAACAAATTTTTTTTCAAATGTAAAATGCTCTCTTTTTAATTACTAAATTAAGAAAGTTAAACAATTAAAAATGTAAACTCACAAATAAATCATTAACAAAAAAGGAATTAAGACTTTAGAGTTGCTATTCAGTATTAAAAAACTCAATAGAAATAGGAATTGATTTGTTGTTGTTAAACATATGTAATTCAAGGTTGGTACAAACAGCAACTGAAAACGCAACCCTCTTGTGCACCCCCATGAAATGTAAAGTAGTGCATAGTTATTGACTGGAGTACGCTCGACATGGAGAGTCATTCATTAGCAGTACAGGACATTGGAACACTTATTTTACAATGGGACATGTACAACCCCCCACCCTTGCCTTCCCCGTCATTTTTAGCTGCATGAGAAAGTTTAGTAGGCTGCCGTGACTACAATGCTATATGGGTTTTAGACCATTTAAATGTGGTTACAAGATTTATTAAATAAAAGAAGAACATTTAAAACAAGTCAGCATTCATATCTATACAGCAAGTCTATGCGGTCTCCGTCTTGCAGCCCTCAGGGTAGGACTGGATGGCTGCTTGCTTAAGTGTGCTCACTCTCAAGTCGCAAGAACAGATCACAGTACGCTGGAGCGAAACGGGCACTAAAATGCGTGAACTCAGCTCAGGGACCTGAAAAGTCACATGAACAACAATCTACAGGTATGACTGGAACTGAAAAAGTGCAATCCAAATGAAGGGGGGAAAATCATGCTTTGTAGAAGTAAAAAACGGAGGCCACCGGCTTTCAAAATAACACCAGTGCTTAGATGCAGGTTTCCCCAGTGATCCTCACTCTGGGCCCTGTAACTATGTGGCCTTTGCTGGCCACAGTCTCCATGGTAGCACCCACATGGTGTATATACAGGAACATTTTACGTATATATTCATATGTATAAAAAAGAAAAAAAACAAACACCTGTCCTGATCAGTTTTTGTTAAAACATGAAAAAAAATTTTATTGTTTTAGACAAAGAGGCCACTTTTGGAAAATAATACTTTTTTTTTTTAGTTGAATCAGGTGAAGACAGAGTTAAAATCACATAGGATTTGCATTTTGTTTTTTTTTTAAAAAAGGAAAGTACTAGGATTGTTGGCACGGGAGCAGATATTTACACTGAACAGAGGTTGGCCTTTGACATAACATCGATACAATGCATTTCCAAAGTCTGAGAAATAACACGGTTCTGTCTGGATGCTTTCACAGAGGAGGTTCGGACTGGGGGGCAAATGTCATTAATGAGGGCCGTGGAAGTTCGCCGGCTTCAGAGTCACATGCAATCTGATCCTGGACGGTTCTGCTGCTCAGGGCAGCTGGCTACGGAACTGGAAGCTAATGGGGAGGGGTGGGGAGGCCTCAGAAGAGGTCTCTGAAGAGCAGGCTCTCACAGGTTTTCACCGGGCTGGTACTGGGGCTCTGTGGCGGTAAAGTAGTCCTCCAGGAAGCCCTGCAAGTACTCGAAAGTGGGGCGCTCTTCCGGATCCTTTTTCCAGCAGTGGATCATGAGCTCGTGCAGGGAGATGGGGCAGTCCTGTGGGCAGGGCATCCTGTAGCCTCTCTCCACCTGCTCCAGCACCTCCCGGTTGTTCATGCCTACAAAAACAAGGGGCAGTGAGAGCAGGCATGCCTGGGCTCTAGGCCTTGACTACCATGTCACACAGGTAAAGCATAGGGATGCCATTCACCCTCTTGGGAGGGGAACTATGCCTTTCATCGGTTGTCACACCGTGCAGAAAGAACGGAACAAAGGAATGAAGAACTCATAGATGCAAAAGCCCAGACCGTGAATCTCAAAGCACTGCAAGTGAAAGAAGCCAGACACAAAAGGCAACATACTAGATGATTTCATTTATGTTAGACCACAGGAAGGCAGAAGACTGCATGACAGAAAGCAGATCAGTGGCTGCTAGGGGTAGGGAACACCGGTGAAAGGTCAGGGGGAGCTGAGAAGTGAGAGAAGTGGTGTGTCCAATGCCCATGCTTTTCCTGTGAGGGGCCAACAGCAAATATTTTTGTCTGGGTGGGCGAATGCAAGCTTTGTTTTCTTCATGCCACAGAAAGGACTTAAGATAAAACCAGGTGGGCGGCCAGGCTTGGCCCATGGGCTGCAGGCTGTGACCCCAGTGTAGCATGTGTGTACTGACGTGGCTCTTAGACAAAATGTGTTGTGTGTAAATTGTACCTCAGTCAAACAGATAAAAACGTAGGAGTGGGGGACATGGCTTGGTGGCTCTGAGTGTGTCCTGCTCTTGCAGAGAATCTGGGCTCAGTTCCCAGCATGCACACTGGGCGGCTCACAGCTGCCTGTAATTCCAGTTCCAGAAGATCTGACACCTCTGGCCCTTGCAGATACCTGCATTTACATGCAGATATCCCCACACAAACACAATTAAAAAGAAACCTCTGTATGAACAAAGCGCACACACAAATACCCCATGGAATATGAGCAAGCAGTCTACTATTTGCAGAACATACACGATCCATTTAGGGCCTTTATAGTTTTCACCATGCCTGTGCACAGTGTCTGAGACTTGCCCTCATGCCAGCAGGGCTGGGCACCATCTGGCCTGGTGACCCCCATAGTGCTCGGAGGTTTGGGAACTTTTGACAGGGAGGCAGGGCCTTTGTTTATGGATGACCTCGGGCAGGCCATCTATCATCTGACACCTTCCTGCCCCTATGCAGGAACTGCCTAGTGCTGATGTTCTTGACTGGACGTGGCGGGAGGTTGAGCACAGCCTGCCCTGCACTGGCCTTCCTGACAGCACAGGAAATACCACACTTAGTGTGACCTCCCAGCTACTTTCAGGTACTCTCGCCCTTGCCTTTTTTTTTTTTTTTTTTTTTTTTTTTGCCCCAGCTTTCTTTTGTGCCTCCCCCCTTGTCCTTTTTTTTTTTTTTTTTTTTTTTTTTGTCTGTCATATCATGCCCTTCTTTCTCTGTGACAGGACCTTGTGAACCTGTCATCTGGAATACTCCCTAACTTCTGACAGTTTACAATCTTCTGTCATCTATAGCATGAAACTCAGGGCTGTCACTAGTAGGGAAGCCACATATATGCAATGCAGCCATCTTTAATTCTGGTGATGGAGGTGACCACCTGGTCAGAATCCTGTTACTTGGCCAGAGGTACTGAGTCCTGTTCCCTTCGGTGGAAGACATGCACTTTTGGATTGGTAGGTGATTCTTAGTTTTACTCTTTGGAAGCTGGGCCTAACCTAGGTCTCCTCGCTACAACTATTCCAGCCACTTGTTTATTCAAACCCCTGTAGGATGCTTTTTCTCTGACCTTACCACTTCTGGAGGTGGTAACATCAGGCCAGCCCCTTGCCTTGGGAGAGGTCAGAACCCAGTGTAGGATTGCCTTCTTCTGTTGGGTTCTGCCTGCAGCTCAGGAGCTCAGATCCTCCTCCCATCTGGGAAGAGCTAGGATCTAGGTGGGGAGCTGGAGGCAAGGGGAGGCACAGGACCACAGCCCTTTCCCAACATGGTAAGGGACAGAGGCCACCACCTCCTCAGCCACAGCGCCGAACTCCAATAAGCTCAGGAAATCAGAAAGCTACTGTAACTCACTTGGCAGCATCACAGATCTGAACTGGCTACAAACCCTCCATGATCTGGTGGTGCTGTGATGGCGCTTACTTTCGCCTCTGTTCCGCCCCAGACTCTTCTTCCATGCTAGGACACACTTCTGTTGCATTGACTAAAAAATAAAAAGTCTGATTCAAATGTGTATCTGTTCCCAGGGGTTTGGCTAAGAAGCTGCGGCCCAAGTGACAGTCACCTCAGGAAGAGAGGGTGCCACACACTGGGACTGGCATTCTCTGAAGCAATTCTTTGCTGCACAATTCAGTAGATAAAACTCTTAGTTTCATAGTGGTTTTGGAATCACACAGCCTGAGTCTGCAGGAGTCTCCCTTGTTCTGGCTCCTGTGAGGAGCCCCTGGAACTGGAGGAAAGATCCAAAGATGCCTGCAGCGTGCAACAGGCTTCTATGGGAGAAGCCACAACATCCCAAACCCATCCCAAGGCTTTGTGTGGTACCAAGTGCCCAGAGCGGCACCGCAGAATCCAATTAGCCACTTTCCCATGGCTCTCTGGATCTTTAGTCAGCAACGTTTTATTTCATTAAAAACCAAACTCCTCAAATGGAAATATTTCCTTTCTTTTAAACTTTTAATTCAGTCTCTGCCAATGGAAACTTTAACTGGCCATTTGGGTCAATCCTGTTTTTCCAGTGTTCTGCCCAAGACTCGGACACAGCAGATATGACAACCTGAATCGGCATGTTACATTTTCTGGGGTGGCCTCCTTTCTGGGTCACTGTAGCCATGGGACAGAGCCATACCCCAGTCTATGCAGGACAAAGACTGGGCCAGACCCCAAGGGCCACACTGTCAGCTTTAATGCATCTTCCTAGCTGGCCACCTCCCTTTCCTGCAGCACCCCTCCCCCACCCCATTCATGCACTCTCTCCAGTCCTCTCCTCTGGGGAGTACATGAACAATTCTATACACTGAGGGAAACAGAAACATGCTGATGACAGATTTGCCAGAAAAGTAGGATATAAGACACTGCAACTGGCTGAGAGTGACAAGTGGATGGGGACTGGGACTTCCTCTCGTCCAACCAGCCAGCGGCCAGGACACACGTGGGCTCTCCTGCAGAACTGGTACTTCCAACAAACCTTTCGCACAGTTCTCAGCAAGGGCTCAGCTAGTTTTCATTTCACAAACAGAACCTCAATTAAACGTGTCATGGTAACATTTTTAAAATGCCCATTACCCAATTTGTTCTCTACCCTCTTCTGTGCTCCACAGCTCAGCTATCGGCGGCAGGCCTCTGCTCTTTCCCTGGAGAGGGGTCATTTGGGAGGATCACTCTCACGTGATCTTGCTAGGTGGCCTCGAGCTCACAGGTCTCCACAACCTGCTGTTCTGAAGTCTCCCTTCAAATCTTTCTTTTGCATTTGCACACATGGTCATGGCTCTCACACGTCCAGTCCTTTTGCCCCTAACACTGTCCTCTGGCCACATGGGCTCATTTGCTTCCTGACATTATGACTGCATTATTCTTTCTGAGTCATTTTGCTGGCTTCCTTCTCAAATACAAGAGGTCAGATTTCCAACCCTTCCTTCCAAACCCTGACTCTGCAGTGGCCAGCACGTAGTCTCATATGCACACACATTTTCTTCTCCCAAAGGGATAACCTCTGGTCCTCACCTCTCCTCTCCTTGAGCATCAGTGCTCTTTGAATACTACACGAGCTCAGGACACCCTCCCCCACTTTTCTTTCAGGCTCTTGAATGAAGGAATAAAAATGACTTTCATTGGCAGAGCACGACGTCACTTCTTGACTTTCTGCCATCCCTCGGGACCTGATCTCCTTCACCCTCAGTTTCCCCTTTTGTCAAACAAACACCTTAGCCATCACCTTGCTGTCAGTTGCTTGTGACAAAGTCTTACAGAAGAAGTACTAATGTTTTACCACTTTCCATTTGTGTGGCTTTCCAAGGGGCCTCAGAGGGGCCATATCTGTAGTCAGCGTGTTTGGTTTTCTGTTCACACTGGCACATGAGTTCCCCCATGGCTGTGGGAATCGGGACTTCTGCGGTGAGTAAATAAATGTTATAACAACGGAAATGACACTCAGGTTACCTGATACCAGATTTCTTTTGCAAACTGAGCTTTTTATTCAAAGGGAACAAGACGATATTGTGTATGAATGAGGCCTTCCGTCTGAGGCCCCTCAATTCTCTGTATAAGCTCTCTAAAAACCCCATCTGCCTGCTCGCTGTTCAAAGTGGCCACATGGTGCTGAGAGAAGGACGTCAGAGTTAATGGCGCTTGCTCAGCACAAGCGTGCACTGCGCCATTGCACGCACTTGTGCTATTAGACTATCACGTGTTTTCTCATCTTACAGGGACAATCAGGAGGCTTGGAGATAAGCTTCGTGGATCAGAGTACACCTCTGGGCCAGAGGGGTGCTGACCCAAGAGTATGGATGGAAAGAAAGGGCTGACCTTGCTTGGGAAGACACAATAATCACTAGTTTTGTTTACTGTTGACCATCTCACCGAACTCCTGGGGGGCAGCTGTTCTTATTAAACCCGCTGTATTAATAAAATCGGAAATGATGGCCGTGGGTGCTACAACATGCAAAGGTTATTTGAAGCTGATGATGTAATATTATGATTTTTTTGGGCTTTTCTTTTCTTTTTTTATTTTTGGAGACCAGGTCTTGCTATGTGGCCCAGGCTGACTTCAAACTAACAGCAATCCTCCTGCCCAGGTCTCCCAAGTAATAGGATTACGAGGCCTCAGCCACCATAGCTGACTTTTGATAATACAGCACTATTAATGATTTGTCTGTCCTCTGAAAAGAGAAGTGGGAGAGGAGGGTGAAGGTGCTAACCAGAAAGGCCGGGCCTGCACAGTAAGACTGGGCGGGTTCAAAATGCACATAGAGCAGAATGTCCCTTCCCATGGTGTCCTCTTGCCTCCACACATTCTCCTGTCTTCTCTTATCCTCTCCTCAGCCACACTGGCCAAAAGAAACCTTGCAGGGTAAGGGCCAGCATTCCATGCAGGC